ATTGCGTTCTCGCCCTCGCGCGCGCAGCCCAGACGGCGCGCTTCCACGCGCCGACCGACGCAGCCCTTCCTCGTGAGCCGTGGACCTCATGGCACACAGCCGAGGTTGCAACGCCGACGCCCCCGCTTCGTTCTGGCCTTCATCAGCAACGCCGCACTCCCCCCATGCAAACTCTCGGCTGCGCGCGGTCTACGTGGAGCATTGCTGCGAAGAGGAGGCCCTCGCCCACCATTTAGAGACGAGGTTCGCGCAGCACCGCGGCATCCCACCCGCCGCTGCAGCCTCGCACGCACCCCCCTCCCCGACAAGGCCGTCACGATGTACCACTGTTGCGGCGCCGAGAAGCTCGCGCCCTGTTCTTGCTCCGCCGCCACCGGGCTGCGGCGCCCACCTTGGTCGCGCCGGGCACAGATAATTGGGCATTGACATAGCGGAGGAAGCGAGCACCGCTGCTGCCAAGCACGATTCTGGCACTCTTCACGCCATTGCCCGGCGATCGCGCTCTGGCCACGACAAGCCTCATCCCACACTGGAGCGTAATAATGGGGTCCTTTTGACTGGCGACGCACCCATCTCTGCCCGGCGGTCCGAGCATTGGGCTGATCATTTCGCTGGAGCTCGCCTCCCAGACTGCGACCTTCTGAAACTGAGCGCCGGCGGGCCTCCATACCACGTGGAGAAGCCCGTGAGCGCCCGCGCGTGGTCGCGAGGCCAACGGCCCAAATGGCGCGGGCCCTCCTCGTCCAGGCCGCGCGCAAGTCGACTGCGGCGCACGCAGTGAAAGGCCGCCCGGTGCCCCCTCGCCATGAAAGGGGAGCGCATGCAGATATCTGGAGGCCCATGGGCGAGAAGGCGATCACCTCGACCATCCGCGGCATCCTCGTCCAATCCCACATCGGCAAGGCCCACGGGGCTGTCCTGAAAGACGAGACCGACGAGCACTGCCCGAATGCAGCTGCTGACGCCCAGTGACGTGCTGACGATGCCGCAGCACTACAACGGCAGGCTTGGTTGCCAAACTTCAATCATCCGTGGCCAGGCACCAGCGGAAATCGTTCTCTCGGGTATGTGTGGACCTGTCCGCACCCTTCGGCACCGTTCGCCGTGAGTTAACACTGGTTCCGTCTCGTCTCGATGCGGCGTCCGTGCGCGACGTGCTCGTCGAGTTCCCACTGGAAATTGAAGATCGAGTTGCTGATTATGTGGCTACGGGCTTCACAGTTCTCGAGGACGCTGACGCCCCCAAGGCCGTCGCTCGCCTTGTTCACATCTGCACGAGAACACTTGGCTCACCGTCCACAAAGGGCAGGTGCAGATGGACGACGTTGTCGCACTGACGCGCCAGGGGGCCCCGCAGGGGCGCAAGATTGCGCAATGATCTTCAACATCATCCACAAGTACGCTCACCCGAAAGTTCGGCAGGCTGCCGCTGCCAAAGGCGTCCTCCAGTATGTTGTTTGTGACGCTCCATGCCCATGGGATCTCCGAGGCGAAGCTGAGTTGCCCCTTGCCCGTGACCCCATGTCCGAACACTTAGCGGACGTCGACGTGGACGACGTTCTGTTTATGTTGATGCATCGATCCGCGCACGAGTGCGTTGCGGCAACCAGGCAGCTGAGATCATGATCGAGGAGTTCGAGAAGTGCGGCCTCAGGTGCAACCTGGATCCTGGAAAGACAGAGGTCACTCTTGGACTTCGCGGCGAGGGCGCTCGCTGTGCACGTGGAGCCTTATCAAAACCCTACCACGAAGATGCCTTGTTTGATTACTCCCTCTCGTGACAGACGAGTTGTCGTCACTAACCGGTATAAGCACGTTGGTACTGGTCGGACCCCTTGTGGATCCACCCTGCTCGATGCCAATGCGAAGGTTTCCAAGTACCCTGCTACGCACTAGCCCTCGCGCACGGGTTGTTCTGGAACCCTGGGGTATGACGTGACACTCGGCTTGCCCTTGCCCACTGTTCGTGCGCTTCCCGCCTGCCTGCTGTCCAGAACAGACACGTGGGTCGAGCCCACCCCAGAAGCAAGTTGGGTTCTGAATGCTGCACGCCTCCGCGTGCTCCACCATCGAGCAAGGACCGACCGTCCCAGCATTCCTACGGGCCTACCACGACATGCTCCTAGAACCCAACAGAATCATATAACCAAAAACACATGCTCTTAGCACAAAAGGTAATAATTTTAAAAACAAGGGGAAGACTGAACAACACGATGCGTTAAAACACGACGGTTTCGGCCAGAAGCGTTCTGGGAACATCTGGTCTAAACCACAAGAGGTTATTAGAACATCCTTTGGTGGGCCCGTAGGCGAGCCAGGGCTCTGCGCCGCTGCTTAAGCCTCCGCGTGCTCCGCCCTCCTCCTCCTCCTCCTCCTCCTCCTCCTCCTCGTCCTCCCTCCTCATCCTCCTCCTCCTCCTCCTCCTCCTCCTCCTCCTACTCCGCCTCCTCCGCCTCCTCCTGCTGTTCCTCCTCCTCCTACTGTTCCTCCTCCTCCTCCTCCTCCTTCTCCTCCTCCTTCGCCTCCTCCTTCTCCTCCTCCTCCTCCTCCTCCTGCTCCTCCTCCAGCGCCCCATTTACCGGTGTTTTCGGGACCCTGGACGGCGCCCCCGAGAACTTGGTGGCCCTCCGGTTGTGTCAGCCTGCTGTTTAGAAGGCTCTGGCTTAGGATTTGGCGTGGGCCTGGCAAGCCGCGCCCACCTCGAGATCTTTGCCAGACCCACGCCAAGACCCGAGGCCGCGGTTTGAGTTTGTGTCCAACCCTTTGGAATGGAAGCGTTCCCTGTCAGCTCTCGGCTCGAGCTTCTCCCGAAACCGTGCATGGGACGTGAGTCCAGATCCCATTGAGACCACTGTTTCGGTTCTTCTGGTCAGTGTCTCATTCGCGTGCGTGAGGTGCCCTCTGGAGCGACGTCGTTGCTACACCAGCAACCGAGGCCTCAGTAGTCATATGTTTCGCGCCCACGCTGTTAGTAACGACGCAAGATATTATGTCCAAGACTCTTCTTGCCCACTCTGCAAAGTGTTCTCAGCCCGTCCTGCTGCTATTGATCATGTGACTTACGGGGCCAAGCGCTGCAGAGACGCTCTTGCTTCACTCAGCCCCCATCGCTGAGAAAGCACGTCGTTCATTTCTAATCGTTCTCGTTTCTAATTGTGCTCGGTACTATACTAATCGTTCCTGGCCCCCTAGTGGCCAGGAAGAGGCCCAGGATAGAACAAATAGAAAAGAGAGGATATTGGCAAAAAAAAACTCCATGAATTAAACTAAACAATGTGTACACTTGCCGCCAGAATCTTACCCGACGCGTGGGCTGCAAGGCAGGGCACGGAGCTAGGACGGCCTCTGGGGCCCCGTGGCCAAGAGAACAAGAAGCTCGTGCACGGCGCAGCGCCACCTCCGATGTGCTTGGCTGTGGTCATCCCCGCCCCCCCCCCCCCCAATGTGCGGCATGCACAGCCACTCCGCCTCCTCCGCCACCGCTTCTGTTCCCTCCCTTCCTCCTCCCGTGTACACTTGCTCGTCTTGGCATGGCCGATCGCGACAGGGCTTGAAAGAGAGGCTGGACTGCCTGGCGGGTCAAGCCCAGCCCTCTGTACAGCCCGCACTGGTGAGCGTTCCCGTCTCCGCACGGTCTGAATGGTCACCGCTCATGCTCGAACGTGTACAGCCAAAAAACAACAATCTCCTCCTCCTCCTCCTCCTCCTCCTCCTCCTCCTCCTCCTCCTCCTCCTCGAGTCTCATCCTCAGTATCCTCCTCCTCCTCCTCCTCCTCATCCTCCTCCTCATCATCATCCTCATCATCAGCATCATCAGCATCATCATCATCATCATCATCATCATCATCATCATCATCATCATCATCATCAGCAGCAGCATAATCATCAGCATCATCATCATCCTCATCAGCAGCAGCAGCATCGTCATCACCGTTATCATCATCATCATCATCATCATCATCATCATCATCATCATCATCATCATCATCATCATCATCATCATCATCATCGTCGTCGTCGTCGTCGTCGTCATCAGCAGCAGCAGCAGCAGCCGCAGCATCATCATCAGCATCATCATCATCATCAGCATCATCACCATCATCATCATCATCATCATCATCTTCATCATCCTCATCCTCATCATTAGCAGCAGCATCAGTATCATCATCACCAGCAGCAGCAACATCGTCGTCAGCATCATCATCATCATCATCAGCAGCAGCAGCAACATCAGCATCATAAGCATCACCATCATCATCATCAGCACGAGCAGCAGCATCAGCATCATCATCGTCATCATCATCAGCAGTAGCACCAGCATCATCATAATGAGCAGCATCATCAGCATCATCAGCAGCAGCATCATCATCATCGTGGAATCATGTTCAGCATCAGCATCATCAGCATCACCAGCAGCATCAGCATCATCATCGGCATCAGCATCAGCATCATAATCCTCATCATCATCATCAGCAGCAGCATCCGCATCAGCATCACCATCCACATCAGCATAAGTATCAGCATCATCATCATCATCATCATCATCATCATCAGCATCATGGCAACAGCATCAGCATCAGCATCATCATCAGCAGCATCGTCAGCAGCAGCATCAACAGCGTCCGCAGCATCAACATCACCACCACCTCCAGCAGCAGCACCGTTGGTCTCATCATCATCATCATCATACTCCTCGTCGTCGTCATCATCACCACCACCACCACCACCCTCCTCTTCCTCGTCCTGCTGATGCGCAGCCAGACTGCAGGCTCACAGGCAGTCGGACGCGAGAGCTAGACTGGTCCATACCACACACACACACACACCACCACCACCACCACCACCACCACCACCACCACCACTACCACCACCACCACCACCACCCTTTTCATCCACTCCCTCGGGCTCGACCTACGGGCGAGAAGGCTCGGCGGTGAGATGAGGGACCCGGGCGGGGATCCCTCGGAGGCGCTCGCCGCGCCGACGGGCCCGGAGCGCGCTCACTCGTCCTCGTCCTCGCTCTCGTCCTCGCTCTCGTCCTCGACCTCGTCCTCGCCGCGCGGGGGAGGCGGAGGGGAGAGCAGGGAGGGGGGGACGGGGGGTCCTCTGGGCTGCCTTCGGCAGCCCCTGTCCCCGCCTGGGCCCTGCGACGCCGTCGACTGCACGCCCCAAGGGTCAGGTCGGGCATGTCCCCCTACAGGCGGATTTCGGACGAAAAGTCAAAACGAGTCAAACATACTCCAAAAAATTGCCAAAAAGAGTCCGAATTTCCCCAGGCTCCTTTTTGAACTATTTTTGAGCACACTCCTCCTGTAGAGGGACAGGGCCCGACTTGGCCCAAGGGCCAGCCTGTCTGCGGGCGGGCGGCCCCGGGCCCGAGGAGCCTTCGTGCAGGGGGCGCCGTGCGCGGGCTGACCCCGCACAGGGGGGGCTCAGTGCCCCCCCCCCCCCGGGCGGGGTAGAGCTTGCTGCGCCCGTCCCCCTTCGAGGGGGGGAGGGGAGTGGGGGGAGGGGCAGCAGAGGGGAGGGGGGGCGACGAGGCAGGGGGGGAGGGAATGGGGGAAGGGGAGGAGGGGAAGGCAAGCAGGCACGGCAGCACGAAGGGGGCGGGAGGGAGGAGGCGAGAAAAGGCGCGAGGGAGAAGGAAAGAGGAGGAGGAGGAGGAGGAGGATGTGTAAACGGTGGCAGCACCAGGAAGGAGTAGGGAGTGGGGAACGGGGAGGAGGAACAGAAGGAGGAGGAGGAGGAGGAGGAGGAGGAGGAGGAGGAGGAGGAGGAGGGGGAGGAGACGGAAGAAGAAGAAGAGGAAGAAACAAAGAAGAGAAAGAAGAGGACGACGGAAGGAGGGAGGGAGCACGAGGAGGAGGGAGGAGAGAGGACGCCAACGAGGAAGGATAATAAAGAGGGGGTAAAGATAAGGAGGAGCAGAAGCGGGAAGGAGGAGCGAGGATGAGGGAAGCCAGCCCAGCCCTGCACCAGAGTGCGCTCTTGCCAGGATCTCGAGGCGGACCCGGCTGTGGCGACGAGGACGCCCTCTGAGGCCCCCGGACGCCCTTGGAGACCCGCAAAAACCTCATCAATAATTAAACATCCACCCTCGAAGCTTGATCCTCGAAGACTCCATATTTGCACGAAGCCGACGGCGACCGCGGCGGCGGCGGCGACGACGACGACCCCAGAAACCCGACGATGAGAGGCGTCAGTCCACCGACGCCAGACATCCCGAGAGCATCCCCGCGGCCGGCACTCCATCCCGAGCCACCTCCCTGGGGCCCCTGGCACCGAGACCGCACCCGGCGGCGGAGCTGGAGGAAGCACTGCTCAGATGCAAGGGACCTCTCCTTCGAGGTCCTGGCTTCGGCGACGACGTTGACGACGACGGCGGCGACCACGGGGCGACGGCGACGGCGACGATGCATCCGAGGGGCCTCCTTTGGCCCCCCCAGGAACCTCCGAGGGGCCCCCCAGGGCCCCCGAGGGCCTCCGCCGAGCAGCCGTGGAGGCCCCAGACCCCGCACGAGCGCCGCGGGCGGCTGCGGCGGCGGCAAGGAGGGCGCCTCGTCCAGATCTGGGAGCGACACGTCCTGCAGTTCCTCCAGGAGCTCCCCGGTGAGCAGGTCCACCTTGAATGAGAGAGGCCTCCTAGACGGCGCCCAGGTAGATGGGGGATCGCGCTGCACCGGACATGCATCGCCGACGAATCGGCGCCGTCGGCGCGGAGAAACTCTGGCTCCACATCGAGGGGAACGAATAATGGCAGAAAGGTACGAGTTGCTGTATGTTTATGTCATTCTTCGTTCCCCTAACATCGGCGGTGGACAAACCTCCCTGTAGCATACCACCCTTTGGTAAAACGGCCTAGGACTGAAACCGACGGACTTGGACCCGCAAAAATGACGGCCGCGACGCCCTCTCGCGCGCGAACCGAAAACGGCCAATTCGCTAATCGACGTGTCAGGGTAGGAGGTCGATCAACCTCCGATAACATCGAGCCACATCGTGGATACATCGCCGATGCGGGGCGATGCTTCGACCCTATCTGCTCGGACGCCACTTGAGAGACCTAGAGAGGGGCAACCACATTGGCGGGCTCCGGAGACCAAGACTGATGGGCTTGTTATCCACTGCCACTACCATTCGTAGGAGGCGGGAGGGGGTCCTCCTCCTCCTCATCCTCCTCCTCCTCCTCCTCCTCCTCCTCCTCCTCCTCCTCCGCTTCTCCCCCCCTCCTCCTCCTCCTCCTCCTCCTCCTCCTCCTCCTCCTCCTCCTCCTCCTCCTCCTCCTCCTCCCTCTGCTCCTCCTCCTCATTCCTCCTCTCCTCCTCCTCCCCAACCTTCTCTTCCTCCTTCTCTCCACCTCCCTCCCTTCCCCTCTAACTCATGGTAGTGGTCGTAGAAAACAGGCCCATCACAGATCCTCTTCGGGTCAAGAAAAGAATCGCGACGGGAGGCTTTAGGCGATTTTCGGCCTCTGGGGGCCCTCGCCAGGCCCCAGCAACGTCAAATAGCGACTCGGGACGGAAAAACAATTCTGGGGAATGGGTCGAGACCTCTGGGGGTCCACATGATGAAACATCATGACGTCGAGGGTCTGGCGACCCTGTATCCACAAAAAGCATTGCCATCTCCTTGGGACGACTCTCTCTCTCTCACTTCCGCTGGCCTCCGCCGGCGTTCGGCGCTGGCCTCCGCTGGCGAAGGCAGCTCTCGTTTCACTTCCGCCAGCTTCCGCCTGGGAAGAGATGGCAACCTCTCAATTCCTCGAAGGCGAGGCCCCTTCTGGAACAGCTCGCGTGTGGGCCCTGCCCCTGCAGGCCAGATATTTCTGCAGCGCTGGCGCCGGGGCTCAAGAAATCCGGAGGTGGACCCCCAGCGGGGGTGTCCGACCACCCCACCCCCGCGTCGAGGAGGAGGAGGAGGCGGAGGAGGAGGAGGGGGAGGAGGAGGAGGAGGAGGAGGAGGAGGAGGAGGAGAGGAGGAGGAGGAGAGGAGGAGGAGGAGGGGGAGGAGACGGAGTAGGAGGAGGAGGAGGAGAGGAGAGGAGAGGAGGAGGGGAAGAGGAGGAGGGAGGGGGAGGGGGAGAGGAGGGAGAGGAGGAGGAGGAGGAGGAGGAGGAGAAGCAGTGGGCCCGCAGGGGGCGGGGGCGGGGGTCGAAATTGGTCGCAGGAAGCGTGGCTCGCTCGGAAGAGCGAGAAGCGGCAGAACGCGCAAGATTTCGGATAACCCTGCGCGATCATGTCTTGGATCAGCTCGTCCTCCTCCTCCTCCTTCTCCTCCTCCTCCTCCTCCTCGTCCTCCTCCTCCTCCTCCTCCTCCCTCCTTCCTCCTCCTCCTCCTCCTCCTCCTACTCATCCTCTTCCCCAAACATCCTACGTCTTGCTTGTTTTCGCAGTGCAGCTCCCCAGAGATCTGGGCCCCTTCTCTGGGGGCTGGCCCTGTGTCCCAGGTCGTTCTCTGACAGTTCTGGGACCCGCTACACCCCGAAAGCCGGAAATCACCAAAAGATTTGTTTCGCAACGCGAGGAACTCAGATGAGCATCATTTCACCGACCCCTATCCCCATGGGCGTGGCACAGGCCCCACTGGCTGATTTGCTCCCCTAGAATTCGGTCGGGCATGTCCCCCTACTGGGGGGTTTGGGGCGAAAAATTGAAAGACCCCAAACATACATCAAAATAATCCAACATAATACTTAAAACATCGTCCCTTGTATCTAGTTTGACTCTCTCTGAATTGTCCTCCTGTGGAGGGGCATGCCCGACTTGACCCTAGCATGGGGATGCAGGCCGTTGCCTTCGGGCATCGATGGGTATCCATATCCCCACCCGGAGTGCTGAGATGGAGGTCTGGACGGGGACGGGGATGGGGGGCGCAGGAGAGACCAGCATTAGGAGGAGGAGGAGGAGGAGGAGGAGGGGGGAGGAGGAGGAGGAGGAGGAGGAGGAGGAGGAGGAGGAGGAGGAGGAGGAGGAGGAGAAGCAGGAGGAGGAGAGGCCATGTCCCCCTACAGGCGGATGTTGGACGAAAAAAACTTCAAAATCTGCTACAATCCCCCCACACACACACAACAAAAAAGTCCCTGGACTATGTTTTGACTATTTTCGAAGATTCCTCCTGTAGAGGGACACGCCCGACTTAAGCCCAGCATAGAGTCGACAAGTCCGATCGGCGGTCGACATGGCTTGGATCGGCGGAAATCGGCAGCCGAGTCGGGAAAAGTCGAATCGGCGGAAATCGGCAGGCAAGTAGGCCTCCACTCAAAAAAGCGGAGCCCAGATCGGAAGCCGAACTCGAGTCGGATCGGAACCGGAAGCCATCGAAGTCGAATCGAATGGAATCGGAAGACTCGAAATGAGTCCTGTAGAGGTCGGCCAGGCGACACTCATCGGAGTCTTCGAGGTCGAGTCGGGGAGACGTAAGACCCGGGTACGGGGGACTCGGAAACCCCCGACGAGGTCGTCAAAAAAATGACGAGGCCGAGCCTGCATTTTGACGAGGCCTCCCGCTGCAGACATCCCACCAAACTCCTCCTCGTCAAAATCCGAGGCGCGGTCGTCAAAAAATGATGGCGAACCCGAGTCCTGGCAAACCCGGGTCTTACGCTCCCCCGATCGAGTGCGGCTTCCGAGAACATTCGGCTCCCTCGGCCCGCCTGCGGCTGCCACGGGCGCCTCCACTCCTCGGGGCGGCGCCGCCGCGGCCGCCGCCGTCGTCGCCTCCGCCGTCGAGGCTCGAGGGCCGAACTTCGAGGATCGATACTCCGATATTCGAGGATCGAGGTTTGAGGATCGAGGATCGAGGTTCGAGGATCGAGGATCGAGGATCGATATTCGAGGATCGAGGTTCGAGGATCGAGGTCCGAGGATCGAGCTTCGGCGCGTCGGGGCCCCACTGGGCCTCCAGAGGCCTGCGGAGCCTCCCGCAGAGACCCCATCGACAAGTCGGGAGACCTCTGGGGACCTCCAAGATCATCATCGTCGTCCTCCTCCTCGTTGTCGTC